CTTGAGAAGCGATCATTGGTAAACGATTCAGTCAAGATCCGTGCAGAGTCTTCTGCCCTTGCCGCTCCACAAATAACAGCGAAGACCTGACAGTGCTGAGAATACGACAGCTCATCGGCAACATCGGCTGTCGAGTCGGTGAAGAATTGCCCATCATAACAATGAGCCCGAATAGCCCCTAGAAGCGATGCCGCCCTCGCTTCATACTCAGCAGCATGTCCTGGCCGACCAACATCACGCACCAGACCAGCAACATTTTGTAGAACCCACGCGTACAACATACTAAAATAAGTGTGTCTATTGGATTTTCGTCCGGAGGTCGGAACTCCTTTGTCGGGATGGTCGTCCGTTGCACCCCAGGTCGTCACCCAGTCAACATATTGCCAGACGACTTCAGGCAGTCCGCTGACCAGACCCAGCTCGTCGATGTGGGCATCGAAAAAGTCGAGAATACCGTCGATACGCGGGATGAAGCCTCGCGCGAAGCGGGTATCGCCGAAGTATAGGTGGTGGTCGCAGACCTGCAAGACCCAATACAGCGAGAACCCAGCTATGAGTTGCGGTATTTGTGAGGGGAAGCGGGACTGTGTGAGACCTTCGGGTGTGATTGAGGCTGCAAAGTTTGTAATTGCTTGGCGCATCAGTCGGTCGTCGCCCGAGAGGAGGTAGTGGAATAGACCAACGGAGCGGCTGTCTCCGGAGTATCTGAATTGTTAGCTGGGGTATGGATTTGGGGATGTATGAGGCATACTGTAATTGTTCGTAGAATGGGCAATCGGAATACCCGTCGAACATGCAGTTTCGCATTGTCCGGATGGAAACGGCCCAGATCTGCTCGCTGTGCGCGTCTCCGGGCTCTTTCCAGCTGGCTTTGACGGCCATGGGGTAGTTGACCTGAGTAGCGGCAAATGATACCAGCTCGATTGGCTCGGGGCCTACAGTGATTTCGATCCTCAGAAGACGAAAGGTTCGGAACCAAAATGGTTCGTATATGACACTTTCAGTGTCAGGAAGATTAAGTGTCACTTCATCGTATGGTCCGATAATGTGGCCAACACTTGCATTCAGCCGGTCAGCCTTGGAGCGGAAGAAAGGGTATGATCGAGGCTCAAGCTCATAGCCTTCTGAGTGTGTCACTTTGAGTCTGATCTGAGAAGTGTGTTTGGCTGCTTTGAAGGCCCATCGAAGGAATGCAGTCGAATGGACATCGGCTTGCACTTCAAGTGTATGAGTTGAGCTTGCAGGAAGGACGATAGAGTGGTTTGTTGCGAAGAAGGCTGTCCAATCTCTGACCTCGATCACACTGTCGCATGCTCTAATGGTTTTTACAACGGCTGGGGTTGACTCGGGCATGGGGATAGAGCGTGGACGTAGATTCCACGGCGGAATATCGCCATTGAGGGTCTTTATCTTGTAGGCAAATGGTACCACCGCAGGACCGGGGTTTGTAGGAACAACGCGCTCGCTGATCTGAGAAAGAATGTCAGTGCAATTTAAGAGGGCTTCGATCCTGAGCCATTCTCACATGAAGGAACACATCGTCAGCCAATCCTGTCGGAAACTCAATGCTTTCATCCGCAGATGCTCTCCAATTCTTGGAAGAAGCAAGATCGACGACCCCCTCGTCTGTCTCGATATTTCCAATAACTGTCAAGCCTGGAAGAGCCGTCCGCGCAAAGGGTATTGCGCTCCTCGAAGTCGCGAAGTACCGGACAACCGTAAATCGAATCTCATTTTGTCCTTCTTGCAGGTAGGGTGCAATGTCCAGCGTGTCGTAATACCAGATCAAAGGACTGCTGCGACTCGGTCCGACGGCAATATGTTTCCCGTTCACATAGAGCTTGTAGCGTGTATCGGCTGAGAAATGCAGTATTGATTTCGTCGGTCGCGACGACAAGATAACATTCCGTGTAAAGTGAACTATCTTGCCAGCTGTGTTCGCGTTTGAAGAGTCAGTCCAATTTGGAACCCAGATCCAGTTAGCCTGAAGCTCGTCGATTGTCTTTCAAGCCACAATAAGTCAGCAATTTATTCCATATAGCTTGAGATATAAGGAAAATACCTTTTGCTCCTCTGTTGAGACCATCTTTGCGCATTGTTTCCGTTCATCTCGGGAGTTCCGACGAGTTTGTATAACTTCTGGCGGGGAAGAGGCCGGGGGTTCGGAACATCTCACAACGAGAAGAAACGCGATTGAATTAAATTAGCTAATAAGAGTTTGCAAATAATAGCTTTTAGGCTGGGGGGATGTATTCAGCCAATAGTTCATGAAACCGAAGATGTTGAGGATTCTATCACAATAATATATAGAAGTCGTCTCTTCGCCGACTAAGGGAGAGGAGGTATTTAAAAAGACATAACAAGGTCGTATAAGGGGTTTACCATTCTTGTATAGTTTAATTTAAGTATAACGATATAACCATAATGTAGTATCGCTTACACTTAAGCTGCGACTACCTCATACTCCTCGCAGCTGCACTTCAGTGACATAACCCTTGAACTTCCGAAGATTGACCTTCTTCTCGAACCTAGAACATAAAACGTGTTATCCAAATCCATTAAAAGGACCCCAGGTGGAAGGTTGACATACATCTCATCAATCTCAGCCGGTGTTCGGCGTGTCACCTCTGGAAGAATGAACCAGGCGATAATTACTGCAAGTGTGCCTGTACCCGCAAAGCTATAAGAGGTAGGCTGTCAGCATTTTGCAGTGGCAACCCGCACTTAAAGAAGACGGCAAAAGACTGACAAGAAACCAGTTTTTACACCCCAGTGTGAGATAGGCGCATTGTTGATCATCAAGGGCGTGCAGAAACTGAAAATGATAGCGACTAAATTCGAGGATGCAAGAGCCCAGCCGGCTGTTTTTGCGCGCAAACGTTGCTGGGGGATCTCAGCGGCGTAGGCATAGCCAATAGCCGACGCACCAGTAGTAGACAAAGTTGCCAAACAAGCGAAAAAGATCTAGGTACAGTTAGCAAGTTATCCAAGGTTACGCCGGTTTCAGAAGGGCTTGCCAGAAGTGAGCTGGTTGATGGCTTGGTGTAATCGAAGCAGCCAATAATTCCGAGGCATAAAACTGACACAGATGTAACTGCATAGGGGTAGATTGTCAACGGACGACGACCAAGCTTGTCCGTCGTGGCAGCAGTCATAATCATAGATATCAACTGGACACAAGATAAAATGACCGTTACCGTGAATGGGTCTTTGTTGCCAGCATATTGAACTAGAACGATATTAGCAGAGTGAAAGAACAGTATGAAACGATTAGTACTCACAGAAATATGTAGCGTAGGTGTTAAACACAGACAAACCGACAAGCTGTTGGGCAATCTTGGGCCAAGCTGCAATAAAGAAACGAATCCGATTGCGGCCCTGGAAAACAGCCCATGGTCCCTCTTCGGAGTTACGCTCTGCGACGGTGCGCTCCTCTGCAATGGTGGCAGTCATGATTTCCTGATAGGAAATTAGAACTTTGTTGAAATACGATTGACAGAATAATCACATACAATCTGCTCGTCAACGCTGTATCCCTCGATATTGCCATTGCACCGAGTTAGGATCTTGGCTGCCTTGTCGAGCCTTCCTTTGCTCACGAGCCACCAGGGAGATTCTGGGGTGAAGGCGAAGATGATGGCAATGATACCAACCATAGCCCACTGACCGTTCATGGCAATTGTCAGTCACTATCTTGACCATGAAAGCTAAATGACACACGGGACACCACGAACCTGTGTATAGATAGGGACTCGGAATTCATATGAGTTATTTGCGCTGAGTTCCTTGAGTGCCACTGACGCGAAGATCTGACCAACCACAAACCAGCTGGAAAAGAATCAGCATATAAAGCCTCTGAGGTGCCATCCTCTTAACTCACAAACTGTAAGCGTTGATATAGAAACCTCGCAGCTGGGTTGGGGCGATTTCGGACAAGTAGAGAGGTAACGTGGATTGCAGCATACCGACACCCATTCCAGAGAAGAGTTTTGCTGCGAGCCAGTGATCCCATCTTGTTGCGAAAGATTCAATAAACACGCTGATGACAATGTCGAGCCAGATTATATAGAACGCGATTTTTCGACCGAACTTCTCTGTGGCATATTGGAGGAACTAGAGAGTAGTTAGACACTCGCCAGATTAGCCCTGAAGATCGGAAAGACGTACAACTTGACCGATAGTTTGACCGGCGGATTGGATACCACCCCATGCGGAGATGTATTTGCCTGCAATGATGGATGTGCCTGGGGAAGCCATCTGTCGAATAAAACCCTTGTTGGAGACAATACCGCCATTAAGATTAATTTCTGCGAACAGATCAGTATAATTAGAAGCTCATAGGTCTCCAAAAGCAGTAGCTTACGGTAACCATCCAGCGATGCGCTAAATGCCGCGGTCATAGCAATCAGCGAGACGATCTTGAACCGTCGCACACAATGCCAGACACCAAGGTCGTCTTCGCGAGATCGCATGATGGGCCCCATGCTCTTGGTAGGCATGACATTTTCTTGATGGGAGAAGGCATCCTCGATGTTTTCAGTGTTGGTCTTGGAACTATCCATCGTAAAAATAAGTAGACAACAGTGTGTACCGAGAACGAAAGTTGTAAGTTCTTGTCAAATGAACATGAGTAGCTGGTATTGCTATATTTTCAGCTCTTTGGTCCAACTTAGAGAGCTAACAAATATTGATTTGCGAAGGACTCAGCTATTCCAACCAATAAATCTGAATTTACAAGGCTAAACGTAATTCTTAGAAGCTCTTTGTTCTTACTTTACCCCAGATTATACATCAAATATACGAAAAAATTGACTATCGAATAGAACGCAACCCAAGGGCCTCTACCCCTCAAACTCCCACTAGCCCTAAACAGAGAATCCCCGGCGGCATAACGCCCATAGGAGGGAATTCAACCCCTCCAAATTCCATACATCCCCAACCTTCGGGGTTTTCGGAGGAAGACTGCCCGAGCTCCTTCCCGGGGAACTAAGGCCGAGTAATTACAGGTAAACCAGAAGAGCTTCCGAAGCTGCAACAGTGAAGGTTGCTTTCCCGCCAGAGACAGTGACTGTCTCTATGCTCTCTATACCCTGAATAATGCAAGTGCCGTTGGCAAATGTCTGGCCCGCAACGGTCGGGTTCTGACCCTGATCGACCCGAGACGTAGCATAGGGAGCAGTCAGTCGTTTAGCAGTAACGCCTGAGGAAAAAAGCCCAGACAGTGTATATATTTGCGAGGACCGTGTTCCGCTGGTAGATATATAGTAGTCGGAATTGTAGAGAAGGACCCGGACAGGAACGCTAGCCTTGTAGAGGGCGTAGGCTGCATATGCTGTATCTTGGCTATCCAGAGGCGCAATCTGGTCGGCGTTGGCGAGCGCCATGCTGGCGAAGTAAGCACCGTAGTAAGGGGATCCTATGTCGTAGCGGCCCCACCAGCAGTATTGGCCTTGAAAGTTAGCTTGTGGGTGGGTAAGAAGTTCTAGATAACTTACAGTTTCCAACGGTACCCTGGTGGAAGTAGAGGGCATTTGTGCCCATGAGGACGGTCTGCATCACGTAGTCCAAGATCCAGAGCGCAGCACCAAAAGTCGGGCTGATACCACCACCGCCTTGGGTTGCTGAATATTTTTAGTATTTTTATCAAGTGACAGTGAGCAGTAACGTACCCGAGTTAGTCTCGCCGAAGATATGCGGTTTGCCTTTTTCAGCAGCTGCAGAAACTTCAGTAGCATAAGGCTTGATCTGGGTGGCAATACTGCTGTGGCCCATAAGAGTAGCAAGGTCGTAGGAGCCAGATGACTGGGGATAGTTGTGAGAGCAATAATCCTTCACATAGTCATTCGCATCACTCTCTTTCGCGGTAAGGCTAGCGAGGCTCATGGGCGAAGTGCCAAAGTAGACACCTGCTGAGATGATATCAGTTGCAGAGAGATTTCCGCACATCGCATCTTGCCAGGTGACTTGGGATGATTCATCAGCTGCAGCTGTCCAGGATACACCATTGGCAATAGGATCGCTGTCAACGAAAACTGAACGCTTAATTAGCGTCTACACAACCAAGAATAAGTAATTTGAGACCTACAGTTGGGCTCATTCCCCAGTTCAATGGAGTATAGATTGTTCATTTTGCTCTGGGCGAGAAGCGCGGCCGAAATTGTGTTCAAGATATCGTCCAAACGACGATTCAATCCAATTATAACTTCTCCGGCATAGCCTGCAGCCAAAGAGATGAAGGACGGTCCGTAAGTCAGAGTCTCGGGCGCAGCACCTGTGCTGGCCACTGTATAAGTGACAGCTTCCGTTGATGAGCTATTGTATATCGCGCGGTCCCTGCGTACTGTTAACAACATTTATTGACCAATAAAAGCATACATACTGTGTTGTGCCTCCGATCCGCATAGGAGGCCATGTTCCTGTCAGATCCTTGAGGTTCTGCAGACATGTCATCGTTGATTCGACCTCTTGAATGTACTCAGGGAACGCAAAGAACTCCAGACTTCACGGTGAGTAATTATATCTGCCAATGGCTTAGATAGAGACTCACGATACACCAACTGGAGCTGCAGAGAGCTGCTGGCTAGAATTTGAAGGCGGGGATATCGGAACATTGAAGCTCAAACTCAAAGCCGAAGCCGCGAGGCCTAGAAGCAAGGCTGAGATGGGAATTGATGTCATAGCCTCAAAATGTCTTCCGTCGATGCTAGATAAATTGAGTTGTAAGCCAAAGAAATTTCCAAGACAAGATAAAGGTCTTGAGTATACATATATAGGCTATAATGCAATCCGGTCTCTATAAGGAAACAATCCGGGGAACCCCACATTTCATTATTTTCAATCTTACTGTCGGGTTTTAGAATACTCGTGCTGGTAAATATCAAGGAGCAATTGAGGATAATATAATTGATTGAAAAATTACTGCTTCTTTTCCCGTTAAAATGAACAAGGGAAGTCCTGTACTTTGTATTTCACAGACTTCCTGTGGTAGCCCAATATACATTATAATTGTATCCCTGGGCATCATAGAAAGGGCTCAGTGTAACATGTCCTCCATCGGCGATGGAGATGAAGTCAAGACCAGAAGCGCCGGAGCGTTTGATAGAGTCAAGGGCGAGAGTAGGAATACTACTCAGCGTTTGGTTTCCGTAATTGCCGCACAAGATAGTTGGCCCATAAGCAACTGCAGCAATACTTGAATTGTCATTTGCAGCCACTGTACGCAGACTCATGGGAAAGCGGATCACAACGACATCTCCATCGGCCCATATACGCGAGATCTGAGCGTAAGTTCCGGGACTAGCCTTAACATCAGGTACAGCTTTTCCATTCAGCGTCAGCTCTGCGCTTGATGTCCATGTAGGGATGCGAATATTCATCGTCCAGTGACCACTGCCGAAGACTTCTAGTTTCGATTTATCCCCGACTGGGTAAGTCGTAGACTGTTTCAGGGTAATACCCATCTCCGGCCATTTCAGGACAGAAGACATGAACAAGTTGACAAACAACGTGGAGTCATTGTAGAAGTAGATCGAGTCCATCAACTTTGTGTTCGTTTCGAGTGCTGTTCCTTGACAGCACCAGAATGAGTCGTAGTCCGTACTCCAAGTACCGCCACCCCAGGCGGGACCAACACCACGGCGACCTCCGGCGTTGAGAGGAGTGAAGTAAGTGATGTGGCCATGGTGATCATAAGGGTTCTGTTGGCCCAACAGGTGGTTGAGTAAGGCGTTTTCGTAGAAGTCGAAATATGCCGAGTTCTCGGAATCAACGAGCCACAGCTCGCGAGTCAGCTTGAGCATATTATAGGAATTACATGCTTCACATGTGTCATTGTCAAGATAATCGGCGATCGCATTTGGGGCATGGAAGTGTTCGGCTTGGCTGTTACCACCGATTGCGTACGTGTGCGATTTGACATTTATTTCCCAGGCATTCCGGGCAATATCAAGGTAGCGAGATTGTCCGGTGGCTTTGTATTCGCGAGCGGCCCCAATCCACTTTGGTACTTGAGTGTTTGCATGTAGACTGTCGAACTCATCTATGTCGGCTGCAAGGGGGTCAAATATAACGCCATGATCAAAGCGTTGGGCAACGGTAAGCCATCTCTTGTCACCGGTTTGGTGGTAGAGGTCAGCCATCACTTCATTCATACCGCCGAATTCTGTTTGTAACAACTTTTGCATTGCATCGTAACTCAACGGTTCGGTGCGTTTGTCGACCCAGCTGGCTAAGGACAGTAAGACGTCTCGAGATATAGTGTCTTTTGTCAAGCGCCAGATGTCAAGGAGGCCTGCAAGAGTCTTGTGTACCGCGTAATACGGGACATTGCCGTTTGTCAGGGTGCTGTTTTCGAGTTTTGCAAACTCTGATTCTGGAAAGCCAGATACATATCCGTCCGTGAAGCCAGCAGCCTTGTTGTTAGCCTGGCATTTGGCCAGCTCGGCAACAAAGTAGGTCGCTCGATCATAACATGTTTGGTCGCGGAGTACCGCATAACATTGAGCCCAGGCACTGAGGAAATGACCCTGGATATGCGAACGGAACGGAAAATCCGGAGCATCCCAGCCACCATTAGGCGTTGCTTGTTTTGTGGATAATCCGTGGGTCACCCGGAAGACGTAGAGTAGTCTGTCGACGTCTATTTCTTTCAAATATCTCAGGGTCCGGCCTTGGTTTTCCAGGAAGCGGTCTTGTGTCAATTGGACTCCACCAAGATCGAATGCAAACGCCTGAGCTCCAACATCCTTGGTATTTGAGCTGGATTGTCCATCGACGGGAAAGGGAAGAGAAAGAAAAAAGCAGACGAATATAGCGAGAGGTTTCCACCAATCCTTGGAGTGTATCATTTTGAATTGTTTGAGCGAATTGAAAGTCTGGTAGATAACCTAGTGATTTAGCTATTCTTTAGGCATTGTCTGAAACACAAGGCCCTTTTATATAAGATATTTCCGGTGGGATAAGACATTAATCGCATTGTTGTATATACAATGCCAAGGATCTCCACACAAGTCCATTCTCCGCACCCCATACTTCTTCTCAAATCCGGAGAATTCATGCGGGGATATATTTTGCGGAGAAATGCCACCGGACTCATTCATAGTCTTCTAAAGGAAATATGCCGGGGGGCTTGTAGATCAATTTACCCTTAAGAGCGGAGAATATCAAAGGTCAACTAAACTTTACAAGACATCTCTAGCCTGCTATAATTCTAAGCCAATCCTAAAAGACAGATTAAATCTGATAGACTACAAGTTGATATCTCAATAGAGTAGTCTGCGCGAAGATTTCTTATACTTTCATGCTTGTTTATAGGTGATATCTAGTCTCTTTGGCGAGGTTGAAGAAAGTTCGTGGCATTGTGATTGCGATATACATGCATATGTCTGGCTTTAAGCAATATAATTATTATCATTCAATGATAAGAACGAAGCGTTTCGATTTGCTTGCAAGTGATAATGTTGAGAAGACCTATTATTAGCTACCAAGTGACACTAAATCAAATAACACCGTGGCTGTTGAGATATGGGGTTGCCACGTTACTATGTTGTCTTGTTCCGGAGTATGTACACATGTGTGTATTTCGATTCCGAAGTATAGAGTCAGAGAAACAATAAGAGATCCCATGTAGTTTTAAGTCTTAATACCCTAATCAAATATAAGTCTCAACCTCCGAAGAGGATGTTTCGGCGAAGTCAAGATGCCGAGGTAAATCTCACCGAAATCCACTTCGCCTTATCCTCAACCACTGTTTTCTCAACAACTTCGCCTTCTAGATCTCTAAATTTGGATCGTTTGCTTTAATTGTTTTTTCGCTCTTTATAATTTATGATGTTCCGCTCTTTTACTTCTCTTCCTCACTCTTTTCGCAATATTTCCCTCCCCTCCACGCTCTCTCCCTCACGACTGGTATTCCGCAACTCTCTACCCGCAACTCCCGCTGCTCCGAAGCGATTCCATAGCCGGTCTTACTCTACCGGTAAGTTATAAACAGTCCGCGTCCTCCAAAAGGAGCTAACCCGGTAATCGTAGCAAGTCCCTCGGCCTCTATCTATCCACCCCCACCCCACCAAAACCAGCGCTCTCGTCTCCGCCGCTTTATCGGGTTCACCACGATCGCTGTCTTCACATTCACCATCGGGCTTACCTATCAAACCCAACGCACCCTCTCACGCATCATGGCGACCCCAAATGACGAGGAGGTCCTGACCGCATTCCTTGACACCGACTCCGAGATCACGGAGATCGAGAACACAATCCGCACTCACCCCGTCGCAGAGGCCCTCCGCGCAGACCCCGACTTCAGCGAATCGCGCCCACACCTTACAATCCCGGGCCCTCTGCGCGAACGCAACCTGACAGCCGGAACGCTAGCAGGACCCGGCAAGATTGTCGTGCCGCCATATGTATTCAGCGAGCGCGAGGGCAAGACCATGATCTCGCTCATGTATCTCGGCGGCGATGTCTGCGGTCACCAGGGTATTATTCACGGTGGTCTACTGGCTACACTGTTGGACGAGGGTCTGGCGCGTTGTTGCTTCCCCGCTCTACCTAATAAGGTCGGCGTTACCGCCAATCTGAATATTGATTACCGTGCTCCGGCTATGGCGAATCAGTATGTCGCCCTCCGCGCGGAGACTGTTAAGGTCGAGGGTCGCAAGGCGTGGGTGGAAGGTCGTATTGAGACTCTCCCGATTGATGGTTCGGAGCCTGTGGTCCTAGTTGAGGCTAAGGCTTTGTTCATTGAGCCCCGACAAGCTGCTGTAAGTTGAAAATGTTGGACTTTGATCTTTTCCCCTGACTAATTTCCCCAGGCGCTCTCGAGTCTCTACAAGGTGGCGTGATTGGGAAATTTCTGTCCTTTCCGAAATTTCTGCATTTGGTTCTCGTTCCTGGTTCCTGGCGTAATGGCGAATTAAGAGAATTAGACCTTTCATATGTAAATGGTATTAGAATTGAGTGAAGAAATGAATATTATCAGTAATATCAAAGACTATACAAGATTACAAGACTATAAGACTATAAGACTATACTATAGAATATCTCTGTTGTACAGAGTATAAGAACGGAAAAACGCCAAGCAATGGCGACACCCCGCGGTGATCACATCTTCTTCTGTGACGCGGCCGTCCCACTGCCCCTCCCTATTTCTATAACTTTTCCGGGATCTCAACTTTCTTCTTTCTTTAATCCAATTAACCTCCAAAATGTCTTCGTGAGTCCCAACTGAACCCCCAATGCCAATCTATCCAAAAAACTAACACCAAACAGCAACATCACCTTCCACGCCAGCGCCCTGACCCGCAGCGAGCGTACCGCGCTGCGCAACCAGCAAGGTCTCACAATCTGGTTGACCGGACTCTCCGCCTCCGGCAAGTCAACCCTGGCCGTCGAGCTTGAGCACCAGCTCGTTCGCGACCGCGGCGTGCACGCCTACCGCCTCGACGGCGACAACATCCGCTTCGGACTGAACAAGGACCTTGGCTTCAGCGAGGCCGACCGGAACGAGAACATCCGGCGCATTGCCGAGGTGGCCAAGCTGTTCGCCGACTCCAACTCCATCGCCATTACGTCGTTCATCTCACCCTACCGGAAGGATCGTGACACTGCCCGCCAGCTGCATGAGGTCGCCACGCCCGGCGAGGAGACCGGCCTGCCGTTCGTCGAGGTCTACGTTGATGTCCCCGTTGAGGTCGCTGAGCAGCGTGACCCCAAGGGTCTGTACAAGAAGGCTCGCGAGGGTCTCATTAAGGAGTTCACGGGTATCTCGGCTCCTTACGAGGCGCCGGTCAACCCCGAGGTTCATGTGAAGAACTATGAGCTTCCCGTTCAGGATGCTGTGAAGCAGATTATTGATTACCTTGACTCCAAGGGTTACTTGCCTTCCAAGAAGGAGTAAGGTGCATTTCTTTGGGTGCTTTTCTTTGGGATTGGGATATGGTTGAGATTTTATGGATGTATCTATGGTCGGCTTTACATAAAAGAGTCCTGTACAGCGGATTAGATACGGTTTTTTTTTGTGCTTGATTCCCCTCCCACTTGCTGTACATACTGCGTGGACAATATAGATCGCTTTTGCACTTGCATTTTATGGGCTGGGGCGAGAATGGACAATGGGACTCGATCCCCTTTTGCTATTCGCTTGAATGTGTGGTCATTGTTGAAACGAAGAAACTAAAAATATCCAATGCTAGTTTGTGCTAGATGTACCAAAGTGGTATATGTACGCAACGTCTTCTCGCAGCTTTCTATCTCCTATGATGCCTCAAATTGGCCTTAGTTGAACTCGAATTCATAAAACACATACGGTGTGTAGTCTGCGCTGCCCTCGCCACCGGGGTGCATCTCGCCAGGATCATCCCGCTGCATACGGCCCTTCTTGTCTCGCCCGAAGGCATTGCCTGCCAGGTACGAGTATTTGTTCTCGAGGTTTTGCTTTGCGCGATCTGCTTGCTTGGCAGTTTGTGTCTGTAGAAAGTAAAGAACGTCAGTCGTTGCCACGGTGAAACGGAAAACAGAGCAGAAGAGAACATACCCGGACCAAAGCGCAGACGAAATCCAGCGGCAATCCATACCGCAGCACCGTCTCGACGAACACTCTCAGAACCAAAATGTGAATCCAGACCATAACAGCCTCACTCCAAGCCGTGCGACCGAGTCGCAGCGTCTCACCCCATACCTTACGCTCATCACCACCAACGCGCTCGACTTCCTTGCGCTCCTCCTCCTTTCCACCCTCGACATACTTGAAGTCGCGGGGAATCCATTTCTGCTCACGGCACTTATGCAGGAACTCGGCGTTGTGTTTCTTGAACGCTGTCACGGCGTACAGCGTGAACTCGCTGTCGGAGGCGACTAGCTGCGCGGACCGCGGGACCACCATTGGCGCAACGGTCTCGTAGGTCTTGAGGAAGTCTTTTACTAGCTGGGCGGGCACGGCGACGAGGTGGGTCTCGATGTATTCGGAGCCCTGGATGATGGTTTTCGGGTCGACCACTGAGGCGAGGGACTTGGTTGAGAGATTGCCTCTGTATAGAGCGGGTTAGTCATGGTTATGTATGCTATAAGCACACGTTGCAGTGCCATCATAGTCAACATACGTTTGTTTCCGCTGCAGTGTAGACAGCGTGTTCTTGACCTGGTTGTATTGGGAGTACTTGAAACGGATGTCGTTGTCGATGCTGGCCGCTTCCTATAGTAGACAAAAGCGCATTAGCATATAACTCCAAGCCAGATATATTCCTCGTTTCCATGCGCGGCGCAACAAACCTTCTGCAAGAGATCAATCAGCTCCGCCAAGGGCTTATCGGCCCTGTACTTGACTTTGTTCCATTGGAAAGTACGTAGGTACTGATCGACCGGCTCTGTAGGCAGTCAGAACCAGAATCCAGACATCCTCGCAGACTGTGTTTTCCCCTCCACAGCCAGATCAATACCAAGCTGGAGACATACTATCGTTGACGACCTTCATCTGCTCAATCTGCGCCTCGTCCTCAAGGATGTTCTTCAACGCATCGCTGACCTTGGCAACGACACTCTGACACGAGGCCTCGAGCTTGGCCAGCTCGTCCGCCTGCTGGACAAGGGCATCTAGCGTGCCGATCTTGAACTCCGGGATTGGGAAGGAGTTGGTGGAGCCATTGTCCGAGGAGACGGTGGTCGAGACTGCTTCGAGGGCGTCGTCGCGGTGGTGCGAGGGGACGATGGAGGTAGGGAGAGAAAGGAGGATGTATTTGCTTGGTTTGGACATGATTGATTATGTATTCGCGGGATTCAAGGGCCTTCGACGAGGCTTGGGTGCGTTTTCGGGGTTGAGGGGGGAGCTCGGGTGGCCTCGATGTCGTAGGCGGTGGGGGCTTGTACCACTATGTCCACTCTGCCATTTACAGGAACTCACTTATACCTCCATTATTATTGACATGAGACTTGGGTAATGATCGCATTGGCCGGAAATTAGATAAAAGATATTATATTATTGATACAGCGATCAGAATTCACGAAGAATCCCTACGAAAAGCTCTCCATGTGTGTGAGTATGAACTAAGAGAACGTTCAATATGAAAGGAAAGATGCATGAAATCATGATCTCATACTAAAGCCTGAATAAACGTACATGAACGACTTTGCAGCTGCGTGAACTGCTGAATGGAGGTGCATAACATAACGCTAGAACACGATTCAATGCTCGCTCAGAGTCAAAAAACAAACAAACAGTAAAATGCCTCAATGGACAGGAAGTAAACCACACACGAGGAATGTTGGTTACCAAAACAGCCAGTGAGGCTAGATTGAACCATAGCGTTAGCTGGGAGAACAGGTTAGACATGAAGAAAGAGAAGGCAAGACAGGGTATCTTTATCGAGCGTACAGCGCTCGTAAACCAAGTAGAGAAGTAGAGCAGAGGTGAGAGGAACTAGCCTGTACAAAAGAATAGGGGGAGAAAAAAAAGGTTAAAGCGCACGTGGGATTAGTCAAAGAAAAATTGATGATTAGTTAGAGATTGTACCCAAGAACTGGGAAAGCCGAGGCACCTAGGCATGATGGTAGGATTATGAAAGATTGGAGTGGAAGTGAGTACTTGGGAAGAGAAGTATGTACTTCAGCCGATCCTAGCCCTGCTGCATACCCTGACCCTGCTGCGTACCCTGGCCCTTCTGCATACCCTGGAAAACTTTCTGGCAGTTCTCCACCAGGAACTTGAGAACGTCATTCTTCTTCTGGACGTCAGTCATCTCACGAGCGAGACTTTCAGGTCGCATGATTGTCGGCGCAAAGACCACTGCAACATTCTGACTGGTCATCAGATTCTCTTCGTGGCGATCGACAACGCGTTTGAGATGGAAGATGAGGAACTCCAGGACGTCGCGGTGCACGCGAGGCAGCTCGAGGAGACTCTTCTGCATGAGTTCAATTCGCGCGGACACAGGGTTAACCTCGGCGGAATCGATCACAAGTTCATAAACTTCGTAAGTGATCAAGGGGTTAGGAAGCTTTCGGAAATACTGTTTCAAAGTGGATGTAACAGCATGGATATCGAGGTCGGGATCCGAGATATCGTAATCAAATGGAGAGCGTTCAAAGCCTTCGCGGATGGTTTGGATGACGGAAGCGGCACCGGACTTGCGATAAATTCCTTCCATGTCCATGCCTGATTGTATATGTTAGTATAACGACCAACCGGATACCGACCCACAAAACATACCTCGCAGTTCAACCTCCTGGATACACCGCGTGACGATGGCTGGAATCATGCCTTTTTCGTATTCCTGGCGAGCCTCGAGTTCGGTACCGAAAAGAGCTGCGAGAGTCATTAGCTTATAGTGATATAATCCTGAACTGTAGTATCGGGCACATACCATCGGGGGCAGCTTCAATCAACACAGGCACGCTGTCAGCTTGCGACATCTTTCCTCCCTGCTTGCCTCTCTGGTTTCCAAAGAACCCAAAGCCTTGGCGACTCGGGTCCTGAGTCTGGGAACGCGGTATACCACCGCCACCCTCTTGTCCCTGTCCTCCTTCGCTGGACATGAAGGCTCCCTTAAGACCCTTGACACCTTTGGCAACGTTCTGTCCGCCCTTTTTCCAGTTGAATTTGCGAGGCTGGCCCTTGCGAATGCTGACAACCTGGGGGCCTGGCACGACAGTGGCTGTAGCAGACTCGGACTCTTCCGAAATGTGAGTAGATCCGTGATAGTCGTTGAAGGGAGGTTTCATGACCTCAATGGAGGTTGTGGATCTCTGCTTGTTGTGCGATATGCCGAGGCCGTTGGGTCGCGGTTGACCGTCCGTGGCTTTGTAGAGTTCTTGAATCTGGTGAACCAACTGATTGTTCAACTCAGCTAGCTGTGCATTCTTCGAAGACAATTGCTCGAATTCCTGGAAGCTCTTCTCCCGTCGAATGTTCATGGCTTCCACTTCCTCCGACAGGTCATTGCGCTTCTGCATGAGGTCTTCAATTTGTGGGGCAAACGAGTCTTTCAGCTTTTGAATGGACTCAGCCAGCTCGCGCAGCACATGGTTGGAGAGTTTGCCGAGGTCCAATGGCCCACTGGGGCCACCACGTTTCTCAGCCTCCATATGATCAGTGAGGACTGTGAGCTCACGTAGAACAATCTCGCGCTGAGCGTCAAGGACAACCATGGTAGATCGCTTTTCAGAAAGCTCGGTGTTAACCTGCTTGACATCTGCGGCGGTACGAGCGGCTGACTCGAGTTCTGCAACTCGCAGACGTTCTTTGCGCAGTTCGTTGCGAAGCCAAGAGATCTCTTCACTCTGTGATCCAGTGATGGGGCTGCCAACATCTGTTCCGGCGATGCTTCGAGTGGTAGGTGATCGAGGATTCTTGAGATCTTTGCTGATCCGCACACTCTTCTCACTGTAGCTTCGACCATGGCGGACAGAGTTTGAGACGCGCCGCAGAAACGACTCGTTGTTTTGCCCAACGGTGTCATCGCCACCGATGATGCGCGATAATCCCTCGTCCATAGGCAAGTCAGCTCCATACCGTAGCACGGGCGATGTGCCGGCGCCATCGTAATGGTGCGATTCATGCGGTGAGGTGTTCAAGGCAGTATGCTGAATGGGCTGTTCGAAAGTATCGCTACGGAGCATAGGCAAGTCCCCGTACTGCGAGGATGCAGGTGACGATCCGACCTCTTTTCTCGGAATTTGGTGAAGCTTGCTTTCGAGTGAATCGCCGCGCTTTGGCAGATATGGCAAGCCGGAGGGTTGAGAGCGCGGCAAGTCCATTGAACCGTGGTCGTGACGATGAAGCTCATTCGAGGAACGAGCTCCAGCCGAAGTGAAGTCATCCATTGGAATGTGTCGCTTTGTGTCACCGGAGAATTCTTTTGATCTGGTGCTGTCGGGGCTAGTAGGCCCAGGAAGGTTGCTAGTCTCTCTGAAGCTGATTGGTATGTCGGATGAGCTACGAGTGTGGCGACCCTTTGCAGGCTTGGATGAATCGGAGCTTGATAATGGTGCTTTATCGGGTGAAGTTGAGTTGTTTTCTTCCCAACCTTTCTCCTGATAGGCAATATGGGGAGAATGATTATCGGAAGATGTTCGAGAAGGAGGTTCTTGTCGATATTCACGGCCGTCGTGGGACGCTTGATTAAAGTAGTCGCCCGGAGGCTCCTGCCGTGTCTGTGAGTGACCACGGGAGGAATTACCCTCAGCTGAAGGATCAAAGGCAAGAGGAATTAACAGTTCACCGCCATCTGCATCTGCATCGGTGTTGTGTGAAATTGATTGACGGTTGCTGCGGTATGTGCTGGAGGGAAGAAGAATATTATCTGTGTGAATGGTAAGTAAGAGCTCATGACCGGGCGACAAGACACCGCGCGAGAAGGGTTCCAGCCCTGAACGCGCGAGGTTATATTCTTATAGATCAATAATGACAATAAGTATATGCGGTGGCAACGATGGTGCATAAAAGGATACAAAGCGCTGCAAAGACCACACACAATGTGACCACATGTGCACGATATGACAATAAGGTGAAAAAGGCTGCGATGATTATACATCTAGACTGCAACAAGGGTTTCTTACCTGAATCAGCCTGCTGATTTGAAATTGAGCTTCCGGGTCCTTCATCATTTAGATCGGGCGTTTCCGCCATTTTACTAGGGTCAGGCGTGCCTGTATATTCGCTGTTCTCCTCATCGTTTATTTGCGATTCTTCAAGGAGGTGGGGAGGCAACGAGGGCAAGGATTTGTCCAGCTTCACATTAGGTGCTGCTGGTTTTTTCCCACTACTGCCGCCGGCTTTCCGTTTTCTCCTCCGTGCCATTAGCGATTCGTGACATTCCATGCAGAAAATACCCTGCGAAGTACGCGCATAGCGCAAGTTCTCAATTTTTCGCTTGCAATTTCGGCATCGGAAGCATTGAGCACAGAAAGCCTGGTCTCCTGTTAAGATGGCCAAATCCTCAATCTTGTTGTTGCAGGAGCTACAACTGTATGTGCAGTTACTGCATATAAGTGATCCGTCGCCCAAAAGGAGGAGGTGCGCATCCGAATCCAGTAGAGTGTTGCATGTACTGCATCGGAAACAGTCGATGTGCCATCGATTTCCAGCTGCCAGAGGTTAGCGACATGAAGAAAATGGACAAAAAGAATTCCCCCGCAATATCCCACATACCAAGCTCAAATGCTTTTCCTTCTTCAAGGGTCTGCCAGGACGGTTAGTCAAGCTCCTGTCCGCTCACTCCACCCACAGTGTGCCTACCTCTCCACAGCCCTTGCATGGGTAGGACTCGTCCTGCTCCATAGACTCCGGATAAGCGCCCTGGTTCTCCATCTTGAGATCCACCGTCTACCGCGCAAAATGTAAGGTCGACTATGGCCGTAGATCGATCCGAATATAAGTCTGGCGGGGGCGCAGACTTAGTCCAAAAATTATGTGTATCCGGGCGATTCGTGATCGCTACAGAAGATCTCACTCGCAGTCACATGCGCCGTTGGTGCTGCTGGCTTTAAGATGCTTCTTGGGCGTAACGGCGGGACGCCGATATTAGGGAGATAGGGACGTCGGTGCGGGTTTGGAGGGGGAGATGCAACAAGTGCTGGAAGGACGAATGGTGGCTGAATCTGCAGACTACCGAGGAGTTAAAAACGTGATCCAACACTAGGTTTAAGCGTAAGACACCAGTCCGCCTAATCTGTCCTGAACTAAGACAAGCAGGTCGGACTAGGATGATAACGGCAATCATTTGCCTATGAACCAAGGATCATGAATATCAATCTCTCGACATACCAGGCACTGCTAGCCGTGCTACAGAAGTGTTTCAGATAAATGATCGCGGATGTTGTGATCATTAAGCGCAACAGGCGAAGCGAAACGGAAATTGCCCCTCGCGGGCGTTGAATTGGTTTGGAGATTGGACAGACAGAAGCCCCGAGGCAAAAGGAAATGAGATCCGGGAGTTAAGACTATAATGGAAAAGAAAAAGAAAAGAAAAAGCAATGAAACATGAGACTGGGATTAGGGGGTTGGAGGGATGAGAAAGGAGAGACTAGAAGGTGAACTTTTGGCTTTCTGCCACAGAAAGGTCCTTTTCCCCACGTAACTTACAATATCATCATATTAAGTACTCTATCCTCTAGCAATCTTTTTCCTTTCACACGGTATAGATGTAATATTATTGTGCTCTGTAACTGCCCGACCTATCCTTGTCTAAATTGTACCTTAACCCCTAGTATGTACGCTGGTACGGAGTACTTTGACTGAGGACGCGCAGCCCAGAACGTGCGGAGTTTCATTTCCCCAATGCAACGACCAATGGGCTTCTTGATACCCCTGAATTTTGTATCTGATTTAATCTCCGCTAAAGTGATAATGAAGAGGGTACTCCGTACGGTACTATTGTATTCTCCCAACAATATCAACCCAATTAAAAAGCCACCGTCTGTGAAAGAGGCCCAAGTCAGCTTCTCCTGGGCAGCTTCGGATCTGGAGCATTTCACCTCTGAGGATCGCTCCATAGCCCCAGTGTTTTGACCACGGTACGAGTATTTTGTCTCAAACACTTCTCACACGCTATCTCCGGCCTTCGGTCCTTCATTTTCAGTCTCTACACCGTAGTTTCCCAAAGACTCCGGAGCCTCCATGGAGAGTTTAATGATATTCCCGAGAAGCTCAATTACAACCTGAAGAGATCCAGCCTTAAGGGCAGTGCCTACATTACCCCTGATCCTTTATATTGAAGCCCAGGCCTCCCGTGCTGTTTGGAGGATGTGAAACACTTGCCGTGTCACGTGAGAGTAAATGTATATGTACGGAGCCTCTATTAATAGCCCGGCTCATCTTTTCAAACACTTTAACATACGGAGTAAAGTTGAACGAAATTAAGTGTCGAGAACTCCCAGTATATGTATCAGGATTTGTCTCAGGGTGTGTCAGGTCTACCGAATGTTTTGGGTTGCGGTACTGTATCATGTTCTGGACCCCTAAAACAACGCCTCGCAAATGAAATACATCATAGGCAACATTATTGTAAATATTCGGTGTGTATTCCATATGTACTCCATGGTGGCCAATGATATACTGGGTCCACTTGCAATTACATATCAATTTATCTTGTACCCCGTGCATACAACATAGATCTGGGAAATGGGTATCTCTACTTCGTGCATTGAGGCATAATGACCACCCACAAAGACATTCCTAGCATATAAAGTGTAATACTATCCGACATGTGTTCGTAAAATGAAGAATAATTTCCATATTAATGCACAGTACCGTTTATCAAGTACAATATGTAGTTGGGCACGTACCACTGGCGGATCGGCAGGAGTGGAGTTTATACGCAGCCATGACATCTTCTCTTCTTATTTTGTACGCTTCTTCGACCCTACAAATCCAGATGTTAATTCACATGCCTGACTGGCAAAAACAAGATCAACGCATTCGAACGTGCAAGTATGGGCTCTTAAAAGTCCCAGCCACCGATGATCCACAACCATTTAATGATGGGTCTGCAATGAAATCCGTTATTGAAAGGGTGACAGGGCTCTCCAAGTGGCACTGGTAGGATATAGTATGATATGCGCAGCTGCCCGATAAGAGGACCCGTGCCTGGCGTAAGGCTGAGAATCCACATTCAGACGATCAGACTACAATGTCTGGGCATAAACAATAAAGGCCCACACCCCCGTTCTGTAAATTTTATAATTCGTCTCTTGTCGATCAAAGTCGGGTTCATTTCAATTGGATCAAACGCTGACACTTGGATTACGTTGGTATATTCTAGGTCAGTTGGTGCATTAGACGTGCGAAGATCCTGCAGTCCTTCATGCGGCAATTGCAATGAGTGCGCGTCATCAACTTGAAGAGGTTCAAACGGAATAAATCGAGAATCGAGAAAGTATGCTTCCAAGGCGATAATGCCCATGAAAAGAGTCTTAACGGTGAATCTTTGGAACAGGATACATTTTTTTGACATGTAAGGAACCACTTAGGGAAATGCTACCAGATGCGATACAGAAAGGATCGCATGTTTTCGTATGAGGAGTAGGGAATCATACACTCGAGGATTCCAACCACTCGGAGACGTAGATCATGTGACCACAATGAGGCTTGAAGGACCCCCACTTTAGAAAATTACGAATCAGCGTTGCCCCTCGAACCTCACTTCTTCTTTCATCTCTGACTTTTTATCGTCTCACCTTAATACGAACGAATTTAAAATGGGTGTCGAGAGAAAGATTATTACTCGTGGCAACGGCACTGACTCGCCTGCTTCGGGTGACAAGGTCGCTATCCACTACTCGGGATGGCTCTACGACGCTAAGAAGTCCAACAAGGGCTTCCAGGGCAAGCAGTAAGCTGACTGCCATACCTAGAGTCATTTAGGTTATGAATTGAGTATTTTGTATACTAATTATTCATCCCAATAGATTCGATAGCTCCAGAACCCCCGGCCGTGGCCCTTTGACTGTTCAGATTGGTGTTGGACAGGTCATCAAGGGTATCATATCCTCTTTTTTCTCTCTCTCAATAGAATCATTCAGACTTTCAATTATTTAACTTCTTCACATTCCAAATTGGATGCTAACACTACCTCTCTGTCTGATTAGGTTGGGATGAGGGTGTTTTGCAGATGACCCTAGGAGAGAAGGCAACCCTGATCATTTCCCCGTGAGTAAATTCCACATCGAACAAGAGAATATCGGACTACCACTAACATATTTCTCAGGGACTATGGCTACGGTGACAAGTATGTGAACACACTCGACATACTGACATCCGTTAGCTGAAAATGTTAACATTTCGTTTCTACACAGGGCAGCTGGCAAGATTCCCGCAGGCTCGACTCTTATCTTGTAAGTTCGTGCAAGTGGATAATGCTATCGGGAAACTAACTATGTTACAGCGAGGTTGAGCTCCTTAAGATCAACAACAAGAGCGCCTAAATAAGCAATTGAATTGAGCAGACAAGCATGGCATTGTCAGCTATTCACTGCGATACTGCTCACATCATACAGTACAAGTTAATCCTCATCTGGGTTGCGTTTCATTGTACAGAGTAGAGTGTTGGTAGGTAAAGCACACTGGTTAGGTAATAGAGCTCGATGAAGCCTGGAAAGCGCCCTCTCTGTCCATCGAGTACAGGTATGTGGAACAATAAAGATCATTAAAAGTCGCTAAAAGATGTATGTACATATGCCATATATACAGAACGAAAAAGCAGAGTGAAGACCGACCTAGAGACGGTGTTGAACAGGTGACTGAGGCGCCGGAGTTGGGACCGAGTTTTTCTCAGCAGGCTCTTCCCAGCGCAAGATACGAGCCATTTTGTTATATGAGTCGATACCGCGGCGAGCGTGGTCCGCAGGAACAAATGGATCGGTCTCTCCGAGAGTTCGGCTAAAGAGTTCAAGAGAAACCCAGCCGCGGAAGCCGAGATCTTCGAAGAAGACACGAGCGATATCCACAATGGGCAGATAACCACCACGCGATTCCTCAAGGGGAAATAGACGAGCGTTACGGGACCAATTCATGCGGGCAGGCTGTCCAGCGACATAGAAAGGATGCTTCTCATCCAACGGGGCGGAAAGACGCTCACCGTCAACAAGCTGGACATAGAAGATCTTGGCCGGGTCAATATTGGCAATGCGCAGGCGCTGCAATGAGGCAGCCAAGTCCGCAGCCGCATTGGGGGTGCGACCCGAAGGACTAGCAGGGTCTGCATATACACGACCGGCGATATTGAAGGAGTCAAGACAGAGACCAAAGTTGCGACGATTGACATCACGGACCACCTCCCACGAGGCCTCCCAGGTATCAATGTGATCCCCCCAACAGAGAGCCTCGTAGACAAAGCGGAAACCAGCCCCGGCGCCCAAATCTGCTAAGCGCTGGAGATCACGAACAATGACTGTGCGGTCGCCAGTGGTGCGGGCAGCACCGGTCTTCGGGTCTGGACCTAGGAAGTTTGACGGAATCTGGATCATGTCTGTGCCTAGCGCCCGCGCCAGTGTGAACCATTTGGGAAGTTTCTCATTGATAAGCCGATCTGACTCCGCGCGGTCGATGAGGCCCTCGTACATGGAAAATGGCTGCAGGCAGATAATGGTCAGCCCTAGGCGCTTACACATCAACCGTGTTGACCGCGCGGCTTCGTGGTGATCACCGCTAAATACCCGCTGCGCGTAGCAGTCTAGATCGTCGAAGAAGAGTTCAATGCCCTCGAAGCCGTGGGCTGCGGCTTGCATCAGCTTGCCGGGTAGGTCGTGTACCCAGGGCCGACCTAAGGACATTGAGGCGATAGCGGGACGATTGAAAGCCATTTGGAAGTTATGAATGGGTACTTCTTCTCTATGTCGATATTATAAATTCAAAAGGTGGGTTCGTGTCAGTCTTTCTTCTCTTTTTAGGAAAGTTTGCAAGCGGAGATATTAAGGGAGCGAGGATTTCACAACAATATTAGGTGTTTTCTAGGTTATCAAAAGGGAAGATACTAAAATGATTGCGACAAAACGTTATCCCCTACGGTGCTTTCTATGATTGAACGTTTTTCCTGGTCTGCTGTGATTCGTGTCTTGATGACGAGGCCGAACCTGATAGAGGGTCATATGTCTGGGTAAACGCTGACCCGCTTTCGTTTTCCCACCAATTCCACCACGCCTGGAGTGCACTGTTCCACCCACCACGCGGAATTTTGCTTCCCCATTAAACATGCTTCCTGCCCACCTGTCCTTAGAAGGAAAATACCCGTAGATACCCGACAAGGTTTTTACCGTGCTGGTCGGAATGTAACCGGAGAACCGGTGCCGAATGGTCATGCTACTCGGAGTCCGGCGCAATAATAATACACTTTCTGCTTCAGCTCTACGGGTTACAACGGGTTTGAATTTGTTCAATTCTTTCAGAACCGAAATCTGCTTTTCATCCCAATCATCGCCATGTCCGTCAAGGTTGCCATTATCGGCGCAGGCCTTATTGGCCCTCGTCATGCGCAATCCGTAATCTCAAACCCCTCAACAGAGCTAATTGCGCTCGTTGACCCAATGCCGGCTGGCGAAGCAACCGCATCCAGTCTTAAAACCAACTACTACCCTTCTGTGGCCTCACTACTTGCATCCCCCCACCGTCCCGACGCAGCAATCGTCTGCACACCAAACCACACCCACGTCCCCGTCGCAAAGGAGCTCCTTGCAGGTGGTATCCACGTTCTCCTTGAAAAGCCCGTAAGCGATACGCTGGAAACTGGCCGCTCCCTACTAGAGTTTGCCCAAGCCCCAGAGCGCGCCCACCTCAAGCTCCTAGTCGGCCACCACCGCCGCTTCAATCCTTACGTGCGAGCTACGAAGGCCGCCCTAGATGCTGGATCTCTCGGCCGCCCCATTGCTATCAACGGTCTGTGGACCTTGTTCAAGCCAGATCCATATTTCGCCCCGCCAACAGACTGGCGTGCATCGAATGAGCGCGGAGGTGGTGTCATCCCCATCAACCTTGTCCACGACATCGACCTCATGCACCACTTTTTCGGGCCTATCGTGCGCGTGACAGCAGAGCGCACGCTGCCACAGCGCCCAAGCCCACCACACAATGCTGATGAAGGTGCTGCCCTGACGCTGCGCTTCGCATCGGGTGTTGTCGGCACGTTTCTGGTCTGCGATGCGACGCCGTCGCCGCATAATTTCGAGACTGGTACGGGCGAGAACCCGCTCATCCCACGGACGACGACTGGCGGTGACTCTGATTTCTATCGAATCTTTGGCTCGGATGCTTCGCTCAGTGTGCCCGACCTGACCCGCTGGAGTTATGATGCTAGCCCTGAGAAGAGCTGGAATTCACCATTGACTGTTGAGCGGATTCCGCTTCCAGATGATAAGGCGCCTTTTGACCTGCAGCTTGCGCATTTTGTCGATGTCATCAATGGAGATGCGGCGCCTAGCTGTACTGGTGAGGAAGGTTTGCGTGCATTGATTGTTTGTGAGGCTGTTCAGAAGGCTATATGGTCGGGTCAGCCTGTGGATATTGATGTTAACTTGTTGGCAAAATCGGATGACTAGTTAGCTACAGACTGATGTGAGTGTGAGTTTACTGATCTGTGAGGTGCGTGTGTCTGTTTGATCTTCTTACAATATGTCCAAAAGGGGGATGACAAGACACTAAGGGGTATATTCATTGGGTCATTTGCTTCTTTTAAACCAGCACATCCTATTACACGCAGACCACATGATGTGCAATCCTAAATAATTGCGAGCGCGGTTTGGCACCTCGTCCGACAACAAAATCACAACGCGGCAAAAGACACCAACACGGAAATGATTCACCACCGCATCGTTCAAGCGTACTTTGGCTGAGCCGAAGTATCCTCGACTTGCTCAGTGCGCATCTTTCCAGTATCAATGCCAGCAGCCTCGACATCGTTTCGGAAAAGCTCTTCATTCTCACGCAGCTGGGCGACCATCTTCCCATGGGCATGCCGCACGGGCTTGATGTCAAACAGCTGTTCCATGCTCTCAAGAGGAATACCCTTGGTTTCAGGGACGAGGAAATACACGAAGACAATGGAGAGCATCATTAATGATGCGAAGAAGAAGTATACGCCGTATCCCATGGCTGTGAACATCTGCGGAGTGAATCGCGAGACGAGGAAGTTCCAGAGCCAGTTGGAGGCGGCGGCGCAGGCCTGTGCCATGGAACGCATGTTAGGATCGAACATTTCCTGCAGATGCTGTTAGCAATATGTCTTAACGCTTGTGGATTGATTAAGTACTGGAACAATGTTCAAATACTAATGTCCGGATGCTTACCGAGTTGAGGACCCACGGGGTACCGTTCCAGGTTGGGGTATAGAAGACCGTCCACAGGTAGAAGAAAAACATGGCTGCGATACCACCGCTGCTCAAGGACTCGCTTGGATTATTTTGGGGTTGGGCAACCTTGATGTACGCGCCGACAATCCACAAACATACGGAACCACCTGCTGCGCCAACCAACAGCAGGTTACGGCGACCGACGTGATCAATCAACCAAAGCAGCCAAATGAAAGTCACTATGGTCTTGACTACACCGAAAATTCCAGTGGTGAACAGACTGGTGTTGGTACCCCTGACACCAATCTAAAAGCATTATTAGCGTCAGTCATGAATGCTCACATGGATCGCAACAAGATTGCGACTTACCGATTTGAAGACAGTCGGACTGTAATAATTGATGGCATTGATACCAGATCCATTCTGCCAGAAGAACAGCGCGCTTCCGAGGAATAGACGCCACATGACTTTCTTGTTGGTCCCAGCCGCCTTGAAAGGTTTCCAGAAACCAATGCCAATATTACGGCGCTGCTCATCCAGGGCTTGGTCAATAGCACCGATCTCCTCAATCATATAGATATCGTGCTCGGGCAATTGGCGTATCCAGCAAAGATTTTTGATAGCCTGCTCGCGGCGACCGCGTCCGAAGAGCCAACGAGGCGATTCCCGGATGAAGTAGGCACCGATGATCAAGAGACCAGAAGGAATCAACTGAATAGCAAAAGGAATGATCCATTGCTTGTGGCTAGGTGCCATGGTCTCGTCAATACCGAACTATTGATATTGTCTTAGTATCCACAAAACAACCCGGACACAAACGAAAAGGAAAACTCACATTGATCCAAAATCCTACAAGACCGCCGATCTGCCAGCCAAGCTCATACACACCAACCAACCTACCACGAATAGCCGGAGGAGCCAATTCGGAGATGTAGATTGGGGTGATGTTAGATCCCGCTCCGACACCAATACCAGCGAGAACTCGGCCACCGTAAAGGAGACCAAGTCCTCGTTGACCATTAGCACCAAGCATGATACCAGCACCGAGAGTGAAAACCAAGCCAGAGGCCAACAGGCCAACCCTACGACCCCAGAAGTGACCAATGGGATACACGAACAAAGCACCGAAGAAGGCACCAGCCTGGTAGCAGGATACGATGTTGGCGCTGATCAGGTTCTTGGTAGTAGTAGACATGTCGTCGAAGTGGAACTCACTCTTGAAGGAGTCAAGAGAGAGCGTAGTGCCGATGAAAGCACTGTCGTAGCCAATCATACAGGATGTGCATGATGCCACTGCTGCCAGAAGATAGATTCTCCAGTTATAAACCACGCTAGGCGTCGGCCGGTCCTCGACCAGCTTCAGGATAGACATGGCAGCGATTCAATATAGAAGAATTGAAGAGGAAATGCAAGAGCCTCTGTGACCAGACGACCTCGATCCCCAATGCTAGATGCAGAGAGGCAGTAGGATGTATCAAGAGATGTATGAGATGCAGGTGCAAGCGCAAGGGGAGAGAAGAGGAAACCAAAAAGAAAGCCTACACCACGTTTTCTCGCGAGGGTGGGCAAGATATAAATAGGAATTGCCCCGGACTGTCGATTCGCCCTTGGAAAAAGAGAGGACAGAATCTGGGGTTTGGAAAGGGGGAGAAATCGTGGGGATGCGGAGTCGGAGAAAGGTATAGGACAGGTTCTCGAAATCCGAAAAATGAAGAAAACCAAGGCGCGGCAAAACGAATACTCTAAGTTCTTCTGTGCGTGAGGACAGTTGCCTTTGTTGCCTCTTGGCACCTACAATGTGGCTTGCTACCAAGAAGAAATTGACTCAGAGGGACATGCAAACTCTGCCGGGCTGCCACGAAGTCTACAAACCGAGATCATTCGCTTAAGACGTTGGATTGTGGAGATCCGATGCCGCTGGGAGAAGTGGGGACTTCCCCGGCGGGTTTCCAGTAACCCGCGACAGCGTGCATGGTCAGCTCGATCTTTCTGGGGTACCCCGGAGGCAATGCAGTGGACGATCTAGCCCTGGTGTGAAATAGCGAATGGTTATTGGTCTGATAAGATGAACGGAAATGGACCCATGACTAGGGGAGGGAGAAAACGGCCAATGACCGATTGCTAGACATGGGTGGCGGGGAAAAGCCTTTCCCCGGAAGCTTAAGGCGAGGCGCGGCCACTGTGAAGTAATCCATTGGCGACTGTCTGCCGGAGCAATTATCAGTTTTCAAGTCATCACTCGTATTACCCGCGTTATTTTCATTGGCTCCTGTAAAGTTCCCTTTATCGTGGGGTAGAGGTGGTTGTTGGTGGCTGTAGTAGTGGGAAATCATTCAGCCCGGCAGATGTTCTGTCAACAATGAAGCATCGACTTTTCATCTCATGAAAGAGGTTATATAGACCAACAAGCAATCATTTCTCCTCATATGTAGAATATGATAAAATGATATTTCTCGAGGGAAGTGGGATAGGTGAAAGAGTAGAATATTTCGTTGTTTCTCCGACGGCTTATCGCTTTCTCG